ACTGCGGTTCAGTAACCAAGGAGCTGACATTGATGCATGTGTTGATAAAGCTGCAAACATTCAAAATGAGATTAGCAAAGATTTTGAGGAAAGGGTGACAGCTAATTTTGCACACTATTCTGCATCTAATTCAGGTCAGTGTAATGATAGAATATTTTATAACTCTTGTGTCATCCAGAAGGACTTTTATGATGCTTTGTGTTAATGAACATTTGTGGTTTTGAAGAGTATAATTTCAATACTATTTTTTATACAAATACAAAGATTTTATTATGATCCTATAGGCTATACCCAGAAAGTGGAGGTGGGGAAAATTGATTATGTTCAACATAATTTCTTTATCTGATTTGCTTGTAACTGTTGGATATTTGTATGAAATAGTCAAAACATGTAGTGATGCTGTTTATTTCCATTAAAACATCTAAATTATATGACATTTAAAAAATGAAAATATAGTTTCTTTATGTTACACAGAACATTTCTGAGCAGATTCCAGTGTGTTTTGGTTCTATTCTGTGCTTTATTTGAAGGCAGCTGACACTCTTCTTTCACTTTTCTTTTTGTTTGTCAAGTTTTCTTTCTTTTTTATCCACTCACTTCTCCATCTGCTTTCACTTTTGTTTGCTTGGGTCGTCTCTCATCCCAACTTGATAATGAGGAATGTGGTGTGACCCTGACCTCTATCAGCCCATGAATGACCTTCTGACTCCCCTGTGTAACCTTTGACCTTTTCTTTGACAGCTTGATTAATTACCCTGTGTTATGATTTATGAGTAAGTGCTATGTAAAAATAATAGACAACAGGTGGTCCCCTAAAAACTTTTTGTGGCATGTTTTCTTTTCTTGCCTAACTTGATGAGCTATTTTAAGTTGGAAACTTTGTGGAGCAATATGAAGTTTGGCAGTAATATAGCATTTTATACACTTGGACACAGCAGTGGAATGCAGGAGTCTAAGAGATGTGGTGTAACTGGGATGAAAATATTACAAAGTGTTAGCAGGGTGCAGTTGCCAAAATGCACATTGGGTGAAAATACAAAAAGAAGTCAACTGACATTTTAGGCATTTCAGTCTCAGGTCACGTCTTGAGAAAATTGCTCAAATAATGGAGGGGGCATTTTTCAAGCTGAGCTGCATCTCCAACAGCTATGTTTACTTTTACGCTTCACTAGTGACTTCTGATTGGTTGTCATGACCTCATCCTACTGTTGCATCTAGGTTGTTGCAACAGTGACACATAGGTACTCTTCTCATGAAAAAGATCAGAAATAAACAGATCATACATCTTTAAAAACAATGAATAGTCATTCCTATGACCATTTTAAACATGCATAGATCTAGGTTACTGATCTAAATTCCTAGGATTCCTTTCCCTGAAGAAATAACTTGATTCTGCTTCAAGTATTTAAATAGTTTTTCTTTTTGTTTTTTAAATCAGATTGATAAAGCTCAAGAAAATTATGTGTTACACATTTTTACTTATAAGCCAGAAAGATAGACACATAGGTCAACATATTCCACTCTAGGCTCTGACCTCTCTGATCATATACAGCGGCCTCTCCTAGTGGATTAATATGCTATGCTGAACGCTTATAGCTCATTATTCATTTCAGCAGACACAAGAGCCTTCTTGTGTCCCAGAATATATCTCAAATATTTTTGCTGTTGCTGTCTATATTTTATTCTATATGGGTTTTGTATCTGTACACAGAAGTGGAAGGATCCTGTAGAAGATGTTATTAGGATTTTTTTTCTTATTGATACCATATTTTACTACCAAGCATACTCATGAATTTCCTGTGATCTATGATTCAAAAAGTCTTGGTATTATAAGTATTTTTCAACATTTCTCTAAGCTTGCTTGTAATTTAATCAATATGAATAAATAAGCAGATGTACAAGATTGGAAATCAAGTCCATCCTTTAAATGGAATAACTGAAATAACTGACAAGAATTTTAACTTGTTAGCAAAATCCAGTAGTTTTTGGAATCATACAGTTATAATTTTATAGTATATAGTATAATCTTACTGGACTGATTTTTGGAATGGTTGAATGATATAAAATTGGTTATCCAATTGATGATCAGTTAGGACTCAAAATTTATTAAATGCTAACTTTAATAGAGACTACTTATAAACTGTCTCATTTAATTTTTCCTAACTAGTTTGTGCAGATGAAACTTGTTGAATAATGTATTGTACACATAGTTGAATGCTTATTCTACACTTCTCTGAAAACATTTAACTAAAAAAAATGAGTAATGTATTATATTGTAGATGTATTTCATTTCAGATATATTTTTCACATTTAGTACTTCAATTATATCATTTATTTTGAAGGGAAATTATTAATTAGTTGATACAGAGTTAAATAGGCATGCACATCTGAGAAAGTGAATGTTATAAATCAAATCAGTTGTATGGTTTAATTTTGTAAAATGTATGTTATAGATTTTAAGGATTATTTTTAACAAAGTATAGATGTGTGGATGTGATTATAGATTGTGACTGCTTAAATCTTTGTTTAAATTGGTCTCTACATTTTGTATGTATTGATCATGTGCCAAAATTAGTTGCCTGTCATTTTGACATTAACATTTAGCTCATTTTAAAAGTCTCATTAGTAAAGAATGCAGGTTAAAATTTAAATACATTCTGATGAATTTTAAAAACATCTTAATCTTTTTAAGGTGAAAGGGAAACAAAAGGTCATATTGTCAACTGCAAAATTAATTTATGATAATGCTAGGTTGGTCTCACTTTAGCAACATTGATAGAGGTTAAATTCTATTCCAGTTATATATATTATATTGTATTTCTACCTCCTTTCATCTGTTCAGGTATTGTCTATTATTCATTATCCTCTTTTTTGTGCCTATTTTTCCTCATATTATTTAGGGGAAGTGACTGAAGACAAATGAAGGAAAGAATATGTCATAATGTCAACTTTCTCCTAAGCAAAACAAGGATCATAATGCACTTTTTAAAAATACCCATAAAACATCTTATATAGATTCCTGAAATATTACTATTTTAGTTATATCTTTACTTTAATAAATACAGTATGTTTAAAAAAGTTTTTAAATCATGCCAAAGGATGGTTTGTGCTATTTAAACTTAATTGGTAAAAATCCTTTAATTTATTTATGTAGCTGAGATTTTTAAATGGATTCATTTTTCATCTGTTGATGTGTCTGTGAAAAATTGACATTATGTCCTCATAAAATTGGACAAATGAGTCATGTAATTTTCAGTTACATAATCAATAACTTAGACAAATTTTACTTCTTTGATGATTTATGTGTGTCTGTGGTTTTTTTGAGAGTAGCCAAAAATGAACATGGTTTCAGTTTCACTAATACCTGTAAAATAATAACAAATACATGAATTTTACATCTTGCATTGTATAGAACATAACATGAATCAATATAAGACCTATCTTCAAAGAAGAAAAGAAAATTCAAGTCACAAACAGGACCAGCAAACTAAGACTGAATGGACAATGTACAAGTTTTTTTTTAGGGTTGGGGTAGCAATTATTTAAAACAGTAAGAAAAATAGTCTCTTCAGGATGTTTTGTTATTACGGTAATAATCATAAAGGCAGGAATCTGTTTTTCAATGTATTTATTATATATATATTTTAAAAGTTCCAATACTGATTTTAATATAAATTTCAATTGAGTTTATTTATATGGAAACTAGTATAATATTAATTTAATACATTAATCTTTTGTAAAAGCATACAGTGTAGTATATGGGGTTTGTGCTGAAGAGAAAACTGGAGGAAAAAATGACAGGAGGAAAAAATGACAGGAGATCACTTACTCATGGTACAGAATCTAGAAGGCGGCAATTTTCTCTTTGACCTATGGTGACCTTTTTACCATGTTCCCTTATACCATAGACAGTGAACTGAATGCCTCTAATTCACCCTGCTTAACAGAGTGCAACAGTGTTCTTTAACTTAGTTTTGGTGGGAGGAGAAGGTATAGTAGAAATTTGAGAAGGGCGTGAAAACTTGTACAGGCACAAGGAAGAGTAAGAACTTTCTTCAAATGTGATTTTAATAGCTAGTCGAGTGTGTCCAACTGTAGAAAAGCACCAAGTGACAATCTGTCTACCTGACAGTTATCACAATGCATTACAAGGTTTTTGAATAGCTACACAGATTAGAATAAAGCAACACCAAATAAAGTATCTTTTGTTATTGTCAAAGATTTACTTAGCATTGGTCATCTACATAGGTGAATTTCTTTTATTCAAGTGAAGATTTTATTTTAAGTAGATAAACATTTATTTTATTTTAGTATGGTTCCCCCCCCCCCCGAAAAGTTATAAAGAAATTTTGAAATAATGTTGACAGCCGGATTTGGTTTATGTGGATTTGACTTGTCTTACTTTCTTTAATGAAGATTATTTTCTTTGATATAAACAAAATGTCTCAAATTTTAGACCTTATCCCTTTATGTTTCTTATTGATTTATAATTTATATTCTCTGAGAAGAATCTAATATTTTTCCTTTGTCTGAAGTCTTTATGTGCATTTTTAACTCCAATAAAAGTGCTTATGTCTGAACATAGCATTGAGTTCAAAACAATATAAAATAATCACAATTTAAATGGATTCATTGTTATTGCTGCTATCAGTTTTTAATTGAACAAATGTTTAATGGTTTAATCTCTGAAGTTTGCTAAATCCTTTTGCAATCAATAGTATTTAAGTAACCTACATGTAACACTTTTTTATTAATTAAGCATCAAGTTGGTAATTTTGGAATCCAGTGTGGAGGAAGCTGTTTCACAATTTCTTGATGAACTGCGTAAATCACTGAAAATGTAAAGAGCTTGGCAAACAAATAAACAAAAGTGGTCATTGTAAATTTGGACACAAAGATTAAAAAAATGCAACTCCTACTTCCTTTATCAGTGCTATGAAAATCACTTCAATCAGTACATTTGAACCAATAAATCCTTTCCCCCCTTTCATCTGGAACAGGAAGGCTATGGAGTAATAGTACTGAATCCGAATGAGAACTATATTGAGGTTGAAAAGATAAAAGCTCAACAACAGCCGTCTCCAGATAGCTCAGATGAACCTGCAGAAAAAAAAGAGAGAAAAGATAAAATTCCAAAAGATACAAAGAAGCGACGAGACTTCTATGAGAAGTACCGAAATCCACAAAAAGAAAAAGAAACGACGCAAGTCTATATTAGAGTAAGTTGATCTTCTTTGTTTTGTTTTGATATTGAAGTACAGAAAACAGTTTTGTTTTTACTTATTTGCACTTTTAATTATGTTTTAAAATGTTACTAAAACAAAGAAATTATTTCTTTTAATAATTTATCTCTAAAAATGAAAATATATATATAAATGTATTTAATTTCAAAGAGAAGCTTGAAGTATCATTCCAAAAATACTGATGTGAAATATAGTGTATGCAATGGTTTTTTTAAGTAGACATGTTTATTTAAAAATCTTTTAAAACATAGCTTTGTTTACAAGTTCACAAAATATTATGGGAATAAGTTTTGGAGGGAATAGATTAACATAAATCTCTATATTTTAATTTATTTGTCTGGTAAACTAATAACACAGTGGACAAAATGCTGATTTTCATCTTATATGATTATATCATTGACTTGTAATATATTGTTTCCATTAGGCATGTCTGAAGAAAGATAAAGATAGTTACTAATAGCTTAATAAATGTTTAAGTCAGAATCGTTTAAGAACAAAGCAGTGAAGAAATTCTGTCCTTTGGCCTTGCCTTTTCTTAATCAATGAACCTTTGCAGTTTGTAATACTAGCTGCATAGGATTGTTGTATCAATGCCACCCAAGGATTTTTAATTCTTCAGAGGTGCAAATAATATTATTCGTGCTTTGACAATTCTGCTTTATATACAAATGATACATTATATGTTCAGAATTCTTTACCATTGGGTAGTTGTTGAACAATGTCAATTGAGAGGGAGGGGATAATCTTTAAAGTTTTGACGTGTGTTAATTATTACACAGGATGAAGTAATGTATTGAGCTAATATAGCCTAGTGGTTAATTTTACAATGCATATTTTTTTAAATGAAGACAATATTTCTAGGAATGAATGAATGAGGATTGGAGAAAAAGCCCAAGAATGCAATATTTGCATTTAAAAATAATTGGAAATGTTTTTCTTTCTTCTCTTTTTGACAAATACATTATATAATAAATTATTCACTAGTCAATTCTACTCTTAGAGAAGCTTTCTTTTTTGAAGGGACCATTGGGGGCTTTGTAAATTTGCCGGAAGCAATTTTCTATAGTATTAGGCCCTGCCGAGAATAGGTGATATATTTAGTATATATTAAACAATTGCTAATTTCTGCCAATTCCTACTAGATAAATATCAGCCTAAGAGTTGGGCCTGTCCCACAAACCTACTGGCATAATAGTTAGAAAAAAAGAAAAGAAAAATAATGTATGTTAGTCAGTATATGTTTATATGACAAGGCAGTTCAAAGATTAGTCTCGTGAGAAAAAGCTGCTTTCTAACTGTACACACTTAGCAGCTTTCATGTTCATTATTCAGAATTCCATATTAATAAAATGCCATAATCATATTTACAACCATTACACTACAGTATACTAAAGTATACTGTAAAGTCTAGCAAGACTTTTTCTGTGAAAAGAGTATAAATAACAGATAACATATACCTTCTAAAGCTTTAAGAGCAAAGCTTGAATGATCAAAGTACTTATTGTTTCAAACTGTAATCGTTTTTAAACTATGACATAATGTACTTTGCCAGTGCACTGTATACTACAACTTGTTGAAGAGATTTGGTCCTTGCAATAAACTTCATCTGACACAACATGGTAGAAAAGATTCCTTATATATTCTGTGCTAAGATATTTTTGTTTGAAATATCTGCCAATTGCGTTTAGTAGTCAAAGAAAAAGTTATGTTTCATAAAATTCTACATTAGTGAAGCAAATACCTACTTCAGATATTTTCTATATAAGAAAAATATTTTACATGTGATGTTTTAACTTAGACATTATACATGTAATATATTCATATTCATTCCTGTTCTTATGATACATTGCTTTATTCACACCACAAGAGGTTGCTGCTGCACATTTTGGAGAACATCTCTCCCATTCACATAGAACCCAATTTAGTAAACACTTAATGTTTTTATTCGTTGCTGAACATGAGGGAATGTGAAGATTTTGCTTAGATCAAAATGTTGTGCTCATTCATTATCTCTCTCTCTCTTTTTAAAGAAATTACTTCTGTGGCAAATAGCAGATTTCTAAGCCTCCTCTCTCTCAAAAAATACTTTTAAAAAAGTGAACCAGCATTAAAACGTATAGCTCAAGGATTAGCCAACATGGTTTTTTGTATTGTATTCATGGTTTAAATATAACGTTTTATTGTCAAAATACTACATAACATGCATTTTCTTATTCTTCCTACTACTGTATTTCTTATGCTCTCAAGATCTGCTTTGGAGGTTCTTTAGAAACTGCAGTGTCCACTGAGTATATTGGAATTTATAGGAAGAATTTCATCAAATTATTAAACCGTTGAATGTTGCTGTTTAATTTTTCTTTTGAATTCTATTACAGGTTTTATTTAGAAATAGACTGTATTGTTCATTTACAAATGTAAAATTATTTTAGGCACAAACTTTCATAGAACTTTAGAAAGGCATAACCAGCTCATGACTTCAAGGCCACATGCAAGCCTGGACAGCTAGTAATGTGACCCCACAAGATTATAAACTTTTTAACAACATTGTGTATATTTATATACATTATCTATATTATATATTTTATATGCAGCCCAAGACGATTCTTTACTCCATGCAACCCAGGCAAGCCAAAAGGTTGGATATGCCTAATATAAGACTTGGAAGAGGACTTAATGTTGTTTATTTTAATCTTATGCTCAGTGAAGAATCCATTAAATCATTCCCAATAAACAGCCATCTAGCTTGCATGTAGATATTTCCAACAAGTAAAAACCCATCACTCTTCCACTGCTTATTAGTTCTTACTCTCAGGAAATTCTTCTATTATTTCAAACCATTTGATCCTTGTTCTATTGCACTTTTACAGAATATAGATCTATCCCTTGAAGCCTTTTCATTATCTGTAGATTGCTCTCATATCTATTCTTAACTAGTTCTTTTGCAAGCTGTCCAGATCCATTAATCATTCCTCCTAAGCTTGGTTTTAAATACCTTATTCTGGTATTAATCCTCTGAACATTGTTCTCTACAATATTCTCTACAAGGTTGACTCAGCCTTCCATCCTTCCGAGGTGGATGAAATGGGGACACACATTGTTGGGAGCAATATGCTGACTCTGTAAACCGCTTAGAGGGGGCTATAAAGTGGTATATAAGTCTAAGTGCTATTGCTATTACTACTTTCCTGTCAAAGTGTTATACCTGGAATCCACCACATATTCATAAATCCAAAATCCTCCACATTATCATAAGTCTTAACCAGCACAGGATAATTATTTTCCATGATTTAGATTGATTCATGTTAGTGTTTAGGCAGCTGAAGACATATTAGACATTTTAGTTGCTGTCTTACAGCCTATAACTTCAGCTTGGTCCACTAGTATTCTTCTGATGTGCATTGCCATTAAACCAGTTCTCAACATCTCTGCACCAATATATTCGACCTGTGATTGTTAATATCACTTGTTGGAAATTGCCCAACTTACAAACCATTTGAACTATGTATATATGTCTGGGTTGTTAGCCAATTTCTGTAGTTTAATGTCTTCTGTGGATTTGGTATCTTCCTCTCCAGTATCTATAAAAATATTGAATAACGCTTATTGAAAAATATTGAATAACACATGCTTGGTATGGTTGTTCAAACAATAGCATCACCATACAGCCCACATCTATGCATTTTTTCCACAACAGTATTAGAATAGAGTGGGGTGGGGTGGGGCGGGGCGGGGCGGGGCGGGGCGGGGTAGAGTAGAGTAGAGTAGAGTAGAGTAGAGTAGAGTAGAGTAGAGTAGAATAACAGAGTTGGAAGGGACCTTGGAGGCCTCTAGTCCCTGTTCAGGCAGAAACCCTATATCATTTCAGACAAATGGTTGTCCAATCTTTTCTTAAAAACATGTGAGTAGCCTGCCAAATTCTTTATTGAGATCAATGTGTATTATATTCATAGCATTACTTTAGTCTACCAAATCAGTCAATTCTGTCATGAAAAGAAATTAAGCTAATTTGGCATAATGTGTTTTTGACAAACCAAAGCTAATTCCTAGAATGATAGCATTCTTTTCAAAATTGTTGTAGACTCATCTTAAATTTGACATTAAAACAAACACATTGATAGAGAATAGGATTGTGCAACACATTCAGAGAAGACAGTTCTTAAAGCATGTTAGCACACACACAAAAATTCTTCAAAGCATTAAATGAGCTGTATTCTTGGAAAGCTGCTTAAAATGAGCTTTGAACATGTAGTAAATATGGAAGAAACAAAAATTAAATTAAGTTAAGGAAACTGGTAAAAAGTTAGTGTAGAAATTAATTTGAGAGACGAGTTTTTCATGACAGACAGGTGATAATCAACTTCAGGGGGAAAATAAAATGTGAGAAAGATGAGATAAAGAAGTGCCAAAATTAAACTGTAGTGGGTATTAGTAAAGTATTGGAACTTCATGATAAAAATATATATCTACTGCATAAGCGGTTTATTTCTAGAGTTTGTAAAGATTTGCATCTAGTCACACTGTTGTGTGTTGGAGAGCCTTAAACTGACTACAAGCCTAGAGCCTAGCCAACCCATGCCATACCAATCATCTAGAAAATTTTGCTGAGAACTTGCCAAAAAGTTTGGCAGTTATTCTCCTTCATTTTCTACTTGCTGGCTATATGCTTGATCAGGAATTAAATATTTGTAGTTTTAAAGTGAATAAAATAAATGTCCTTTATCTTTACTATACATTTACTATATTGGTAAATGAACTACTAGTTAATGTAAAAGCAAATCGTAAATGAAATACTGGTTAATGTAAAAGCATTGGTGGGGCAGTCAAGAGAAATTGCTTTGTAAACTAAAGGTTACAACAACAAAAACCTGTAAAATGAAATGGTTGCATCTCAGAAGTTCATAATACTTCTTAAATTGTTGGGTAAATTTAGGTTTTGCTCAGGGCAGCAACATAATATTTTGTTCCATATCTATAGA